TTATGCTATGAGGATGTTTTTCAGTGGCAGGAACTGGGAGACTAGTCAGGATTGAAGGAAAGATGAATGCAGCAATGTACAGAGACATCCTTGATGAAATCCTGTTCCAGAGCGCTCTCGACCTTAAACTGGGGCGATCATTCTTAAGCCAACATAACACAGGAATGGTTACATAACAACTCTGTGAATGTCCTGGAGTTGCCCAGTCAGAGCCTAGACTTGAACCCAACTGAACATCTCTGGAGAGATCTGGAAATGGCTGTGCACTGACGCTCCCAATCCAACCTGATGGAGCTTGAGAGGTACTGCAAAGAATAATGGGAGAAATTGCCCAAAAATAGGTGTGCCAAGCTTATAGCATCATACTCAAAACGACTTGAGGCTGTAATTGGTGCTAAAGGTGCTTCAACAAAGTATTGAGCAAAAGCTGTGAATACTTATGTACATGTGTTTTTTTTTTTTTCGTTTTTCATTTTTAATAAATTGCAAAGATTTCAAAATGAACTGATTTCACGTTGTCATTATGGTATAATGTTTGTAAAATGTTGAGGAAAAAAAATAATTGAATCCATTTTGGAAAAAGGTTGTAACATAACAAAATGTGGCAAAAGTTAAGCGCTGTAAATGCTTTCTGAATGCACTGTAGATGTTTCTTTTGGTGGTATGAAATCACCACTGTTTTTTTTTTTTTTTTTTTTTTTGGGGGGGGGGGGGGGGTATATAGACAAAACAATACCAAAAATTAAAAAAAAAACATGTTTCTGTTATAAAATCTTGCAAATAATTTTTCTTCATAAATGTAAACCAAAATGTGTTCTGCTACTTTTCTTTGGTAAAAATAACCCAAATTAGTGTGTATTTTTTAGTCTGTATGAAATCTACAAACTATGGTATGCAGTATTTGAAAATTGATCAGTCCTGATGTACTCACTGCTTATCTCATTTCTTGAGGCCCTAAAATGCCAGGACAGTACAAATACTCCCCGAATGACCCCTTTTTGGAAAGTAGACTGTCCAGGGTATTTAGTAAGAGGCATGGTGAGTTTTTGGAAGTTGTAACTTTTTACCAAAAGTTTTTAACAAAATGGAGAAATGAAATAAAACCGAATTTGTTTTTTTTTAATAGTTTTTTTTACATACTGTCATCAGAACAGTACAGCATAATCTTATGACTGGTGTGGTGATGATCAGGGTTATTGACTAGTGACATGTAAAAAAAAAATTTTTTGTTTGCATTTTTACTTTTTTATTTTTACAACGTTTTTCTTTTTTTTAACAATTGCATTGTGACCAGAGCAATGCAGTGTTACCACAGTGACACTGTACTATGGGGAAGTGATCAGGATTTTTTTACAGTATAATTGCTTATAACCGTGATTATCACTGTTATAAGCAATTGCAAATGAATGGATGAAATTCATAATAGCATTGTTTAGTATTGTGATAGCTGTGTTTTGACCACAGCTATCACATGGTACAGATGCACTGTGATTGACCTTTTCTGTACCATGTGATCACTGTGAGCAATCACAGAGATCCTCACAATAGTACGCAATGAATGGCTATGAATGTAAGCCATTCATTGTGTACAACTTTCAGGTGATTGCTGTGATTGGTCACAGCAATCACGTTACTGGGACTGGCCTGGTACATTGATCAGTCCTCCGCTGTGTCCAGTGGACATAGTGGCCCTGATTTACTAAGACTTGAGTCTAACAGCAGACTCTAAACATTCAGGCAGACTCAGTTAAATCAATCAAGACCTGTCAGTCTTCTGAGCAGCGTCTAGCAATCTCATTGACGAATGTCTACTTTGCTATTAGTAAATGTGGAATCGCGTCTGGCACATTTTTAGGTGCAATACCGGATATGTAGATGGCGCACAAGCGGGCTTTGTAGCATTGGCATTTTTGTGTTAGCATAAGAGAATACTTAGAATGTAACAAATAGTACACCTATATTAGAATTGGGTTTTTTTTTTTTTTTGCTGTTTCTCCAAAATGATCAGACAACTAATGCATTTACTAATGAATGTCATACATTCTGTTTTCAAATGTTAAACATTTTCACACTTATATAATTTGGATTGTCTAGTTCTAATTTCCCAATATAATTATATATCTCCATTGTCTTTAATCAGGTAACTATTCTATGTTAAAGTCAAATGCAGCGCTATAAATGCATGTGATCAATAATGAACGCATGTAAAAACCAAAAAGTGCAAATAATTGCAATAATGATGTAAAATGGTAAATGGTGCTAAAATAAGTTCATATAATTATTCCTGAATAATGGAATGTCCTTCGTGTGAGAATACCAACTCAGAGAGTGCCTATGAATGGCACGTGTGGTTTCTCCATGACGGACAGTAGTGCTCCTGTCCTTGGGACATAACAGCTGAAAAACTGTGTTACAGTATTTTGCCTTAGCCATCTCATAGCCTCTTGAATGCTTAGGAGAACCTGTGGTTCTGAAAAATACTTAATGGAAAAGTGCATTGAGGAGGATTGGGTGGGGTGACTGACTTGTCACCATTGCCAAGTTTCAGAATGCAGAATGTGTTCCTCATCCTACAAAGTTACCCAGTGGGACATGAAAGAGATATACCATCCCTGCCCATGCTTCCTTATTCACATGTCAGTGGTAATGTAGACCCTGTCCTGACCATGTGGCCCAGTACATACCCACATTACCTTCCACATGATGGGGGAGGGCAGAGATGACCGTCTGGGGAAAAAACTGAAGCTGGAACCTGTGACAACTGCCCCTTTGGTACAGCACAAGCCACAGTCACAAACGTTTGTAGACTTCACCAGCTGGAATGGGAGTGGCTGTAAAGCCAGCAATTTTGCCAAGCTGGAATTTAGATACTGGGCATTATGTTTGGCTGGGTGCATATTTTTTCTTTCATTGACCATAGGTGGTTTACTTTATTTAAAATCAGCCAGCAAGCTGACTGAAAAAAAAGAGAACTTTCTATGCACACATGCAATGTGAATGAAGGACTCCTCCCCACTGTGCCATTGTATTCAGACAGCGGGACTTCTTCACTTCTGGTCATTCACCGTCATCCCATGACCACCTATCTCTAGGATGGTTGTTTGTGCTTTTGGGACTATCCCAGTATGCAGCGTTGCTAATGGTAACCGGTTGTTCCTCAATACCACTCTCCTCTCCTCCACAGGCAAAATAAGCAAGTAATCAGCATGTATAAAACAATAAAAATACCCTTCCCATAGTGTAAAACTGCTTTTACTTTAATAGTGTGACATAACTGTAAGTATTACACTCGTAAGACGATTTTTTGACCTTTGAAAATCTTCTCAAAAGTCGGGGGTCATCTTATATGCCGGTATACGTCAGGGCGGCACTTTTTAGGGGGGGGGGCGGCGCGGTGCCGCCGCCTTTCCCCCCACCCGACGGAAGGGACACTGAGTACAGGGGTGGGCAGAGGGCTGCTGTCTCTTACCTGGCTCCCACGATGATCCATCCAGGAAGCGCTGCTCCTTCAGTCACTCCGGCCACTCCCTCTAACCTGCCACTCAGCTCCGCCTCCTCACCGGTGATTGGTCGCCAGAACTGTAGCTCAGGAAAGGCACACAGGCGGCCAATCACGGGCGAGGAGGCGGAGCCGAGCGGACCCGCGGAAATCGAGTGAGGGAGCAGTGAGGGAGCAGTCGGTAAGTGTGCAGAGGTGCTGCTGCAACCACATATGCTGGCTGCAGCAGCACCATACTGGAATAGGGGTCAGCAAGTGTCATTGGTGTCAGTGGGAGGAATAGTGTCCCATCATTGGTGTCACTGACACCAATGATGGGGCACTATTCCTCCCACTGACACCAATGATGGGGCACTATTCCTCCCACTGACACCAACGATGGGGCACTATTCCTCTCCCCACTGACGGGGTACTATTCTTCCCACTGACACCAATGATGGGGCACTATTCCTCCCACTGACACCAATGATGGGGCATGATTCTTCCCACTGACACCAATGATGGGGTGCTATTCCTCTCACTGACACCAATGATGGGGCACGATTTGTTGCTCTGACACCAATGATGGGGCATGATTCCTCCCACTGACACCAATGATGGGGCGCTATTCCTCCCATGGACACCAATGATGGGATGCTATTCCTCCCACTGACACCAATGATGGGGCACGATTTGTTGCTCTGACACCAATGATGGGGCATGATTCCTCCCACTGACACCAATGATGGGGCGCTATTCCTCCCATGGACACCAATGATGGGATGCTATTCCTCCCACTGACACCAATGATGGGATGCTATTCCTCCCACTGACACCAATGATGGGGCATGATTCCTCCCACTGACACCAATGATGGGGCGCTATTCCTCCCATGGACACCAATGATGGGATGCTATTCCCACTGACACCAATGATGGGGCATGATTCCTCGCTCTAACACCAATGATGGGGCACTATTCCTCCCACTGACACCAATGATGGGGCACTATTCCTCCCACTGACACCAATGATGGGGCACTATTCCTCCCACTGACACCAATGATGGGGCACAATTCCTCCCACTGACACCAATGATGGGGCACTATTCCTCCCACTGACACTAATGATGGGACACTATTCCTCACACACTGACACTAATGATTAGTGTCAGTGGGAGGAATAGTGCCCCATCATTGGTGTCAGTGGGAGGAAGAGTGCCCTATCATTGGTGTCAGAGCGAGGAATCGTGCCCCATCATTGGTGTCAGAGCGAGGAATCGTGCCCCATCATTGGAATACCATACCATACTGAAATCAAATCTGATGTTTTTTTTTTTAATTTTTATTTGGTGTGCGTTGGAAGAGGGGTAGTCTTATACGGCGAGTATAGCCCAAACCCTATATTTTAACAGGAAAAGTAGGGGGTCGTCTTATACGCCCAGTCGTCTTGTACACCGGAAAATACGGTACCCATAACCTGGCACCTGGTGTATTCAGCCTTGTTGCTTGTATGGTGAACAAAATGGCCGCTGCTATGGTGGTTAATCCTCCAGATGGCGTGTGTTTCCAATCCTACTACAGGAGAAGGTCAGAGACTGTAGTCTCTGGTCTTCTCCTGTAGTATGCCTGCAGTCTCTGACCATCTCCTGTAGTATGTCCGCAGTCTCTGACTATCTTAATATGTCTGCAGTCTATGACCATCTCCTGTATTATGTTTGCAATCTCTGCAGGCATACTACAGGAGAAGGCCAGAGACTGCAAACATAATACAGGAGATGATCAGAGACTGCAGATGTATTACAGGAAATGGTCAGATACTACAGCCATACTATAGGAGAAGGTCAGGGACTGCAGACATACTACAATAGAAGGTCAGAGAATGCAATCATACTACAGGAGAAGGTCAGAGACTGCAGGCATACTACAGGAGACAGTCAGAGACTGCAGACATACTACAGGAGAGGGTCAGTGACTGCAGGTATACTACAGGAGATGGTCAGAGACTGCGTACATAGTACAGGAGACATTCAGAGACCGCAGACATACTACAGGAGAAAGTCAGGGACAGCAGACATACTGTAAAATCATTTATAACTCTGCCACAAATTACATCACCAATCTTGTCTCCAAATATCACCCAAACCGTCCTCTCTGCTCCTCCCACAACCTCCTGCTCTCTAGTCTCTTGGCAATGCCCCATAGATTCTCTATGGGGTTCAGGTCAGGCGAGTTTGCTGGCCAATCAAGCACAGTAATCCCACAGTCATTGAACCAGGTTTTGGTGCTTTTGGCAGTGTGGGCAGGTGCCAAGTCAAATGAAGTCAGCATCCCCATAAAGTTTCTCTGTGGAAGGAAGCATGAAGTGCTCCAAAATCTCCTGGTAGACGGCTGCGTTGACCCTGGACTTAATGAAGCACAGTGGACCAACACCAGCAGATGCCATGGCTCCCCAAATCAACACAGACTGTAGAAACTTCACACTGGACTTCAAGCATCTTGCAGTGTGTGCCTCTCCATTCTTCCACCTTACTCTGGCTCCTTGGTTTCCAAATGAGATGCAAAAGTTGCTCTCATCAGAAAAGAGGACTTTGGACCACTAAGCAACAGACCAGGTCTGTTTTTCTTTAGTCCAGGTAAGACACTTCTGACGTTGTTTGTTGTTGTTGACAAGAGGAATATGACATTTGAAGCCCATGTCCAGGATCCGCCTGTGTGTAGTGGCTCTTGATGCACTGACTCCAGCCTCAGTCCACTCCTTGTGAAAGTCCCCAACACTTTTGAATGGCCTTTTCCTGACAATCCTCTCCAGGCTGCGGTCATCCCTGCTGCTTGTGCACCTTTTTCTTCCACAGTTTTCCCTTCCACATAACTTTCTATTAATGTGCTTTGATACAGCACTTTGGGAACATCCAACTTCTTTTGCAATTACCTTTTGAGGCTTTCCCTCCCTATTGAACGTTGTCAATGATGGTTTTCTGCACAACTGTCAGGTCAGCAGCAGGGTAGCGGACTGACAACTCATGGGGCCCTCGGGCAGTAAGAGATAATGGGGCCCCCTGTGCCCCCACCTACATTCAAGCACACCCACACAACACCCTACCTACATATGGCAGCTCAGCTGCATAGAAGGGGCATTTACATATTTACTGCAGCAAAGACTGCATGAATGTTCCCGGCTTCTTTCCGTAGAAGCCACTGAGCACTTTCAGGTTTAAAGATGGCTGCCATGTGGGGGAAGTGAAAGAGAGAGGGGAGTGAGAGGGTGAAAAAGAGGAGGTGTGTGAAAGAGAGAGAGAGAGAGGAAGGCATGAGAGAGGAGGGGTGTGTTTTAAATTGCGCCAATAATTGGGCATGGCTTAAAAGGGGTGTGGTTAAATAGTGTCTGAGATTACTTATATAGTACAGAATGAGGTAATGTTAAATAGGGAATGTACAGGGAGTGTATGGCGATGGGTAGTATGTACAGGGAGAGGAGTGTGGAGTGTATGGTAGTGGGTAGTATGTACATGGAGAGGAGTGCGGAGTGGATGGCGGTGGGTAGTATGTACAGGGAGAGGAGTATGGAATGTATGGCGGTGGGTAGTATGTACAGGGAGAGAGGAGTGCGGAGTGGATGGCGGTGGGTATTATGTGTAGGATGGTGTCAGTAGGTGGTGTCAGTAGTTCTTCATTTTTATTAGTATTATTTTTTATTTATTTTTTTTACAATTTTATAATTTTTTTTACAGATTAATGTTTTATGGATGGATGGAGGGAGGAAGGGGAGAGAAGGAAGGAGGGGTGGGAGGAAAGAATGAAGGGAGGGGATGGAAGAAGGAAGGGAAGGAAGAAAAGGGAGTGAGGGAATGAATGAATGGAGGAAGGAAGGAATGAAGGAAAGAAAAAAAATGGATGGAGGAAGAAATGAAGGAAAAGGAAGGGGAGAAAGGAAGGAATAAAAAGGGAAAGAGAGAATGATGAAAGAGGAGGTAAGGAAGGAGGGGTGGGAGGAAAACATGAAGGGAGGGGATGGAGGAGGGAATGAAGGTAAGGAAGAAAAGGGAGGGGAGGAAATGGAGGAAGGAAGGAAGAAAATGGAGGAAGGAATGTGTAAAGGAATTCCCGTGACACAGCTGGTGAATAGACGTATGCATGTGCACAGAACTGCACGATCACGCATACGCACGGTGAAGATTGGCGCCAGACGGACTATTTAAAAGGTGCCTCTGCCTGTCAGGGCTCCCGGGTATGACCAGAGGTGTGTGACTGACGCAGGGAAACGCAGACTTCAGATATGTTATAAACAATGTAATTTATTAACACTAACCATACAAACATAAACGCAGTGCAATACTAAAACATAACACAGTGCAAACAAACCAACCAACCACCCACAGATAACAGTACATACAATGCAAGCGTCGTCAGGCAGGCCGGGTCAATATCAGTCGGGCAGGTAGGTACAGGAGGAGCAAGCGGAGAATGATCGGGGTCACAGGCCAGGTTCAGCAGGTAGCGGGCAGCGTGGTACAGAGGGTCAGGCAGAGGAGAATGGTCAGACAAGCAAGGGATCAGAGCAGGGTCAGCAGAGAATCAGACAGGAACAGAGAGCAGGAACAGGATACAGGGCCCAAGAGAAACACAACACCAAGGCAGAGTCTGCAGGTCTGAATGTCCCTTAAATACACCAGTATAATTAGTTCCAGGTGTTTGACTGGCTGCAAGGTTGAGTCTCTGATTGCTGGGAGCACCCGCTGGCCAGCCCTGGTACTGCAGCTCATAAGGCAGCTGAGTCCCACTATTGCTGGCCAGTCCATTCCTGACACTGCCTGTGCTGAGTGCTGACTGGTCTTCAGCTGTTCCCCGTTTCCTGCTCATTCCTATGTGATTTCTTTGTTGCTGACCCGGCTTGTTCCTGACCTGAATCGGAGGTTCATCAGTCTTCCAAAGTCTCCAACTGCAAGACCTGCAAACAAAATCTGCTGGCGCTCTTGTCCCCCTGGTCCCTAGACACCCTCTGTTCCACTTTCAGTGACACAAGTGAGGTCGACCTTGTCATTTCAGTCTCCAATCAGGTACGTGACAGAATGAAGGATGAGGAGGGAGGAAGGAAGGAAGAAAAAGGAGGGAGGAAATGGAGGAAAGGAGAGGATGGAGGAAGAAAGAAAAGGGAGAGAGGGAATGGATTGAGGAAGGAAATGGATAGAGAGGAAAGAATGAAGGAAAGGGGAGGAAGGGAAAAAGGAAGGAATGATTGAAGGACAAGAAGGAATGGAAGGAAAAAATGAAGAAGGGAGGGGATAGAGGAAGGAATGAAGGTAAGGAAGAAAAGGGAGGGAGGGAATGAAGGAAGGAAGGAAGAAAGAGGATGGATGACGGAATGAAGGAAGGGGGGGAAGAAAGGAGGGTAGGAAGGAAGGAAGAAAAAGGAGGGATGAAAGAGATGAAGGAAGGAAGGAAAGAAGGGGAGGGAGAGCAAAAGGAAGGAAGGGAGAGAAGGAGGGAGGAAAGGAAGGAAAGAATGAAGGGAGGGAGGGAATGGATGGAGGAAGGAAGGAAGGGAGAGAAGAGAAGGAGGAAAGGAAGGAAAGAATGAAGGGAGGGAGGGAATGGATAGAGGAAGGAATAAAGGATCAGAAGGGAAGGAAGGGAGGAATGAAGAAAAATGATGGAGGGAATCGATGAAGGAATGAAGGAAAGAAGGTAGGGAAAAAAGGAAGGGAAGAAAAGGGGAGGAAGAAATGAAGAAAGGAGGAAGGAAGAAAATTAAGGGGAGAGGGAAAGGGAGGGAGAGAAAGGGAGAGAGAGGGGGGGGGTAGGCAGAATCACAAAGCTGCCGACTGATCTGGACAGGAGAGGCAGAGAAGATCCTCTCTCCTCTGCTGTGGAGGATGGGGGGAGGGGCTGGACACTGTCAGAGAAGATGAGGCATCAGAGACCTGCGAGGGGAGGGGGCTGAGGATCACAAAGGAGGGGGGGGGGCCCAGGAGGGAAGTCACAGTAAGGGATGATCGGTGCAGGGGAGGGACAGTGACAGCACCAATCTCCCTGCATGGATTTCAGCGAGGCAGCTGAAAGTCTCTCCCTCCCGCAGCTTTCAGCTGCTTCATTGAAATCTATTCAGGGAGATCAGTGCTGTCACTGTCCCTCCCTTGCACTGATCGCCTCCGACTTTGTTCCTGCTACATATCATGCATGGGGCAGGGTGTGTGCAGTGAACATCCCACACCCATGGATGATATACCTCTCACCTTCCCACTGCCGACCGGCTCCATCACCAGCACAGTGTCCGGACCCGTCACCCGACTCACTCTGCCACCATGTGAAGTGACAAGTGAGCTACTTCTGGGTCGGGATCTGAGACTGCCTCCTCCTCCACTCCCCACACTGTCACTGGACAGTGACCCTCTCACGGGCCCCCAACTGACTCCGAGCCCTCAGCAAATGCCCGAATGGTCAGTCCGCCCCTGGTCAGTAGTCTTTCCCCTGATTGTGATTCCTACTGAACCAGACTGAGAGACCATTTAAAGGCTCAGGAACCCTTTGCAGGTGTTATGGCTTAATTAGCTGATTAGAGTGGGACACTTTGCGCCTAGAATATTGCACCTTTTCACAATATTCTAATTTTCTGAGATTGTGGATTTGGGGTTTTCATGAGCTGTAAGCCATAATCATCACAATTATGACAAATCAGAGCTTGAACTATCTTGCTTTGCATGTAATTTCACCCTTTAAGCTGCATTACTGAAATAAATGAACTTTTGCACGATATTCTAATTTTTTGAGTTTCACCTGTATAATTATGTTCTGGTAAATTTTTTTCTGGTGTTAAATTGCACTATGGTTTTGTTTTGTTTGTTAACTTGTATTTTAAATGGAGGTTTTTTTCTAAGTGCCCTGTAGGGGAAGCCCTCCCAGAGTTCTTTGTTAATG